ATCCAAGTGCCCAGATCCATGCCAACAGCAATCCAAGTGCCTGGACCCATGCCAGAAGCAAAGCATCTGCAAGGACCGTAAGTATTTATCTGGTTTCCCTGTAACTGCTGTACAAAGTATAGTTTTTTTTATAACACATAGGTTGTTCATTGTCATCGGAACAAAACATTTACATGACTCCATTTATATATCTTTCATTTCATACTGGACTGCTAAGTGTATTTAGGAATGCGTTTTAAAAACAAAAAGTTTATTAAAAAAATACACAATATTGCCCATTTTCTAAAAAATTGGATATCTTTGGTGGATCACAATTAAAATAAATATCTGTAAGCATTCAGAAAGGGTTGTGCATATAAAAAAGTAGATTAATAATAGGTATGCAGGAAGCTGATAACTGTGGCAAACAACTGCATTCTTGTTTCATCAGTGGATATCACTGGATCTTTGCTTAAACCGATTATCTATCTTATAGTAGAAAAATAGGCAGCCAAGTCAATACCATCAGCATTGCAGTGATTAAAACATCAAATGATTCACCATTTAAAAAAAAGAAAGTATATATATTCCAGTATTATGGGGGTGGTGTAAAAAATTTACTTCTCCATACTAATTTTCAGGTTCATCACTGGCATGGATTCAGAGGGCATCTTGACAAAGCTTTGCATTAATGTCACCATGGCTAATTTTATAAAATGCTACCATGATCAAGTAGCTATAGAATATCTTTTTCATAAGTGGTCTAGGCTATCTATACAGTCTAAACCCTTAAGGTGGCCATACATATGGCATCTTGGTGCAGCTACTGAACCTTTTAAATTCCATTTTTTGTTGAAACCTAAAAGCAATCAAAGATATAAAACAGTGGTTATGACTGACCACAAGTAGAAGGGATCAAAATGTTCCTGCTTTAAACAGAAAAAAAAATTATCAGATCACTTTCAAAGAAATTGTTGTAGTTTTTACTCATTTTCAATTTGATCTTTGACTGGTGATCATCAGTGACTGGTGATCTGACCAGTCACTGATGTTATCTCATTCTTGCAGGGTGACTGGTCTTGTATGCGCGCTCCCCTGTAGTTTTCTGTAGGCAGCCTGTAGGGAGTGAACATTCTGGGTCCTTCCCACAGCTCTGTATGTATTTAGTTACTGAACATATTTGGGGGTGAAATATGCTTACAGAAAAAAGCAAATTTTTCCAAAAAATGCTGATTTACAAATACCTGTCTACTGTGAGAAGACCAGATTCTGAACTATTAATATTAGAACAGATATTAATGTTTATTTGCTTTCTTTTAGCATGCAAACCTGTGCAGCAGTGCCAAAGCTCTGGTGGTCATCTTAAAGGTATTTATTTGCGGGTTCTGTGGAAATACTTTCATATTTCAACCTATGCCAAATTAGGGTTTACAGTGCTTTTATTAATTGGTTGGATAAACTTTGTGTTCATCAAGTGTATGGCTCACCCTAAGCTTCTTTCAAGTACTACCTGCTAGGTTTTGATGAAAACCTACACTGCTTTACACAAAGATTTTAGCTTTTTTTAATGGTCTATCCAACTAACTAAAGCCATTTTCTCTAATAATTACCATTCAATTTACTCCTATGCTTTTTAATTAGACTGCTTTATATGTTTTTTTCTTCAACTACACACCTATACACAACAGAAAAAACAAGTGTTGTTGTAGGTGCTTACTGCGGGAACATTGATTAAAAAATAAATTAATTATTATCGTTTCACAAAACCATATCTAAAAACGTAGATATGGATGCTGAATCGGATGCTGACAAAATCGGATGCTGTTGACGTCTTTCATAGGTATTGCTGCATTGTACGTTAATGATGACAATTTTATTTCTTGTTGGACAGATCCCTGCAACCCTTGTGCTGATCCTTGCCAAACCCAGTCTAAACACTGCTGAAAGGAATCAAGGACCATGGACGCTGCAAACCTATTTCCTATAGCTTCAAAGTAACATGCCTTAGATTGTAAACACAAGCTTCTCCACTGTAGACAACTGACAATAAAATGTTTGCTTCAGCATAATTTGATACTGTTCTTTTTTTTTTTAATACTGTATACATAAAGAATGAGTGACTCTGCCCAGGTTCTATTTCTGGAGGGTTAGTGGAAGCCTGTGTAAAACCTTCAATACCCAAAATTAAAAATCAAACCAAACCACTTTCAAGTGCGTGTGTGTAAATCCTGATAGTACATTCTTGCCATTTTCAAGGCTAATATGCAAGGTACTTGCAAAAAAAGAGGCATAGGAAGTGGAGTACTGCC